AGAGAGAGAGAGAGAGAGAGAGAGAGAGAGAGAGAGAGAGAGAGAGAGAGAGAGAGAGAGAGAGAGAGAGAGAGAGAGAGAGAGAGGGTGGTCGTTTGGAGTGTCTTGCTTTGTAACCTTAAACCCGGAAAAATAAAAAAAAACAAAGTGTAAAGAGAAACCCCGAAATGCGAAGAATTGCGTATTTGCTGACATCTGAAAGAGGATAGTTCTTATGCACCACAGGAGAGATGTGCTGACAAGTTAAGTAACAGATGTGAATGTATCTGGGACAGAATATAGGGCAGGTGCTAACCAACTGCACTCAGGCCACCGCACTCCTCATGCTCTTTGCTTTTGTTTGCAAAAAAAACCGTTTTTTTCGGGTTGAGGCACAAAAACGGGTGAGCTACCGTCTTCACCCGAATAGAACGCCCGGTAATTATCGCCGTATCTGGGCTGAAAGTTGTGCCAAATACCGCTGTAATGACCGGGGGCGTTCTATTCGGGTGAAGACGGCAGTCGCTGTACTTTGCGCTGCGACTTTATGCTGATCCCCCTGCCTAGAAGCAGAAGACACTACGAGTAAGCTTGCTTGCTCGACCCCTCCAGTGTCGCCTCTGTATTGCACTGCAGCAGAGTGCGGCGCAGCCATTTAAAAAAGAAAAAAGAAAAAAAAGAAGACACTGATAATCATCCTCCTCCTCTCCAAGGTAGCTTTGCGATCAAGTGTACAACTTGCTTGATGCTCGTCTGCGCTGGCGGCCTGCCGAGAGTCAGAACTCACAAAGAGGCAGATCGGGGTGAACTTTGTTCGTTTACTTAAAAAAATTATAAAAGAGGACAAAGAAAAAACAAAACCATGTCGAAAAGGATGGAAATTGTGGGGAGCTTTTTGGCTACCGGGTAGGGGTCGTCGACTGCGCGCCAAAATTTCCATCCGCTTCTTTTGCGGCGCAATGTGAGCTGCACGAGTCACAAAAGCAGTCCTCCGATACCTTTCTCGGCCTTTTGGCTAAGGAAGATCAAGTGCACTGTATCTGTTCTGATCAGTTTAATATATGTGATCCGTGGTCCATGGGGCCACATGATATTAAAAAAAAAAAAAACAAAAAAAAAAACCATGCCTCCGATACCTGCGCCACCATTCCTTTGGGTACCTGCTCCCCGAAAAAGGCCCAGGAAACAAGCGGGATCCCGGAAATTGCTTAAAAGTTCTTGTTGCCTTACGGAGTATGGGATCAGAATGTAATCATCACCTGTTTAAACCCCACCATTGCGCGGCCCCAGACTTGTGGAAATTCATTCATTGCCTACTCCTCCATTTTCCACGCTCTGGGTTAGTGGACCACAATGGACCACAATGGCTGGCGGCGCCAGCTGAAAAAAAAAAGAAAAGAAAAGAAAAAAAAAAGTAAAAAAAAAAAGAAAAAAAAAGTGCACCATTGGTGGTTTGGCAAAGATTGGCGCGCAGTGAGGCGCCTCCAGGCCCGGGTGTACTTACTGGTGGTTTAAGGGGTCCGGAAAACCAACGTTGTGTAGGTAGTGAGGTGGGGGACCACCAACTTCAAGAGCTCAAGGTTTGGTATATGCATGCTTGTCCTGGTGAGGGAGAGAGAGACCTCAGGGATCATCGAACAACATCAGCCGGAGTCAGCCACAGGGCAACTTTGTGTCTAGATACAGGGTATCTGATGTTCAAGCGGATTGTAGTATGTAGACCTGGTCGGTCACTAACCTGCACCAGCCACAGGGGCAACTTTCAGTCGAGATTCAACGAATCTGATCTTCAAGTGGATGTCGCATTGTGATTATCACGTCACTTTATCTGGAAGATTAAAAGTTGCCTTGATTACAGCTGTAATGACCGTAGGTTCTGTTCGCCTTGTTCCTGCGTCTGAGCAGTCGGACAATCAAGGCATGAGTCCTGGTTCGTTCACACCAAGATTGAAAGTTGATGATCTCCTCGACAACGATACAGAATTAAAAAAAAAAAAAAAAAAAAAAAAAAAAGATAC